TCTCCACTCCGCGGTCGTATCTTGATTGTTCCAACGATATATTTTTAATATTAAGCTGGTTTATATTTTTCATCATAAAATGTGTGAAATAAAAAGCAATAAAACCTTATAATTATAACAATATTGTCTAAATACGACAACAATAATATATGTTAGAATAAAATATTTTACTTGTTTTTTAAAGTCTTCGTTAAATAGACTGTCTTGAGTATTATCAAAATATTACCAAAATATTCCTGCAATGCAACCATAATATTACTATTATATTATAAGAATACGACGATAACAAAGGTAAAATTACAGTCATGACATCAAAAACATCAAGAATGATCATACAACCATAATATTACTATAATATTACAAGAATACGATGATAAGAGAGGTAAAATTACAGTCATGGTATAAAAAACATCAAGAATGATCATACAACCATAATATTATTATAATATTACAAGAATATGACGATAACAGAGGTAAAATAACAGTTATGACATCATAAATATCAAGAATGATCATACAACCATAATATTACTATAATATTATAAGAATATGACGATACTAAAGGTAAAATAACAGTTATGATATATAAAATATCAGGAATGATCATACAACCATAATATTACTATAATATTATAAGAATATGACGATACTAAAGGTAAAATAACAGTTATGATATATAAAATATCAGGAATGATCATGGAATCATAATATTACTATAATATTATAAGAATATGATGATAACAGAGGTAAAATAACAACCATGACATCAAAAACATCATGAATGAGAATACAACCATAATATTATTATAATATTACAAGAATACGACAATAACAAAGGTAAAATAACAACTATGACATCAAAAACATCATGAATGAGAATACAACCATAATATTACTATAATATTACAAGAATACGATGATAACAGAGTAAAATTACAATCATGCCATAAAAAAACAGTGCAAATAAATCTATTCTCACATAAAAAATACCCACAAAAAAATTTCATGAGCAACCTCTGCCCTAAATCTTGGCATCTTTGTCTGTCAATCCCGGTCTTCACTCCAATCACTTCTATAAATATTTCCTAATTTTTCCATAAATTTACAGACAAACATCCCACAATCAATATTATTGGTTTGTACTTGAACATGTTTAACTATTGACATTTGTCAAGTCTCAGGTTTAGCCCTAAAAGAATCTCCAGCATCTACTTGAAACTTTTTGACCTACAAAGTTTAATATTGATCAATGCATGGACTAAACTGGTGAAATTGCATGAGCATACTAAAATTGCACGGACTGATAGTATACTTACAAGTTCCTTGCACACGTTTTTATGCATCTGGTTGGATAATGAGTCGTAAATTTTCCACTTATCATCTAAATCCGCAAACAACAATACCCGTGTTGGTTGTTCGAAACAAGAATCATAATAATATCAGCTCCTTTAACTGCCTCCTTCGTGATATGACTCAAAAATCTTGCGGTGTTACCAATTTTATGATAATTCTGCATAAGATTACAAACTTATAATATATTCATATAGTTATTTAAATTTTAAATATGCTTAATCAATGATTATCCAATATAATGGTGATACATAAATATAAGGCCTGAAAAAAGATGGAGAAGCATTCCTCTTTCTGTCTAAAATCATGGCTTGGGCGTCAACATGGTCATTTACAATCATGTCATTGCACAGTAACTCTTCTGTTGCCCTGCGATCTATTAAAATGTCTCTAGTGTGCAACATAGTATCATCCCTGCATAATAACACAAAATCTTTGTGAGCCTTTCATCTAATATAAAAGCAATACATTATAAAATATGAAGATTACTCACATATTCGTGTATTTTGACATAGTTTGATCAATCACTATCTATGTTTCGGTTGATATCATAGATCTACTAGGATAATTTATCTGGGAGTCTGTTGGAAGATGCTAAAAAAAATTTTGTATAACATTTAAAATACATAGGTAATTTAGATGATATAAAAAAATATATAACAAACTTTTTCCAAATATCACATTGACAACATCGTGTTGATCTCCTAAAGTTGTTAGTTTCAGGACAACTAGTCCTTCTACTTCTTTGTCTTAAATTATTTGTTGTTCCTCTGCAATGGGGGCTGTTAGTTCCAGTACTACTGCTCCTTCTACTTCTTTGTCTATAATTGATTGAATGCTGCCGTCCCGGACATTCGTATGTACAACGACATCTTCATCAAGCAACATAGGCTCAACGGCTTCTCTTATTAGTTTTCTTCTCTTGAACTCAAAAGCAGTGAAAGGAAAACTCAATTTCTGCTTTCTTCTACTCTGTCTGCCCTTAACCCTTTGGATTAAGCTCGGAACGGACCATTTATGGGAGCCATTAACAGTGTCTCTTTCAACAAGGGAGGTTTGTTGGGTTCCCTCTTCTCCCACAAGAGACAACTGATGTGCTCCCTCTTCTCCCACAGGAGATGATTGCTGGGCTCCCTCAATGTTCTCCTGGGCTCCCTCTTCTCCCACATGAGACAACTGCTGTGCTCCCTCTTCTCCTACAGAAAACGATTGGTGGGCTCCCTCAATGTTCTCCTGGGCTCCCTCTTCTCCCACATGAAACAATTGGTGGGCTTCCTCAATGTTGAACTCATTATATACAACATAACATCATGAGGACTTCCAAATTCCAAAATGAGGGGAGGCTGGTTGGGCATCATCTACTCCCACCTCTTCACCTTTATCAGTTGAAATATTTTCAGATTTATCAATCTTATTTGTAGCACCGACATTTGCCCCTGCAAACTTGATACTCCAACAACTATCATGTTCGGGGTTCCTTGAAATTTAGTGAACCATTTCTCTTGGCCTTCAGAAGCTCAATTATTGATTCCATGTTTTTATTCATTTCGGTGTACATTGTCTACGGGGCAATGTCGCTGGAAACAACTGGCCCCATATCAAATGATACAATTGCTTTTGGTCTGCCTTGGAATTCTGGTGCTGCAACTGAACCGGGTAATCCTTCATTTGGATTTAAGAGCAGATCGAGCTCATCCTCTTTCAGATCCAAAAAAATGATCATGAACCTGCAATTTATTTAAAAAAGAAACGCTTTAATCCTTAAAACTCTCAAATAAACATAAGATTTTATTTTTTAATAACAATTAAATGTAACTTGCATGTTCAATATTCAGTCTCTTAAAGACTATATCAATCTGTGATGAGTTCCAACTTACAGTTGTTGGCCACCTCAACATTCGAGATCTGGCCTTAAGAGTGGCAAATGTAACCAAAGAAGTGTGCTCATAAAACCAGAGCTGTGTAAAAGAAAAGTCATAATTAACTTTGCACAAATAAAATAAATATTTTTTGACGTTTATGCGAGAAACAAACCGTTAGCAAAAAAAATCATTTATATATCCCAAATGTCGGTTCTGCCTTATTTTAATAGCTATTGTATTAATTTGTTCAATAAGGAATTCACAGAGCGCTACAAACCAATTAAATGAAGAAAATGTATGTATATTCTCGTCAAATATGTAAAGTCCTTTGGATACACTGAAATTGCTGGAAGGAAAGAATAAATTTGATAACAAATAATTTATATACAATAAATTAAAAGTGGTAGAAGACTCCCCAGTTCCAAAATATCATTCCTCATTTGGCGGGCATCCGCACCACATGATGGAACTTTCTTCCAAACTTTACTTTGGCACTTCTCCTCTATTTGGCATGCCGATCAAAAGAACAACATCATCAGGATTTATTCTCAGATCTTTCCCACCCATTATGAATATCATTCTTTCATGTTGCCAACATTGCAATATTTGCAGTGTCGGGACATTGTCCTGGAAATAAGGTGAAAGAGCAAAAAACTGATCAACATTCATCATTTTCAGCTCATTCATGATGTCTTCAGATATGTCTGGCCTGACTTTATTGAGCACATCTCTCACAACATACGACTGACATCTGCAGCTCATGGACCTTGTGTTCACAAACCTACATAAAACAAAACAATGCAAACTAATATTAGTTATATTTAGGTAGTATAAATGAAATTATTATAGTATTATTTAGATATTATTCTGACATTATTTCGGTTGTATAAATGATTTTCAGGCTTTATTCAATCTTCTTCAGGTATTACTAGAGTAATATTTCAGTAATATTTAGGTAGTGTTAAGTAGTGTTAATTTGATATTATTTAGATAATATTCATGTGATATTAGGTATTATTTCAATAGTTTTAGTTTGATACTATTATTAAAATTCATGTTTTATTCCGATGTTATTCAAGTATTATTATGGTAATATTAGGTGAACTTTTGATTTGTTACTAAAAAACAATAAGTATAAGCCAAAACACTACTCAAGTATTACTCAAATGCTACTAAAATACTACTCAAATATCATCCGAAAATAGTCACTTTGAACTAATTACCTGAATGATTGTTACTCAAATACTACTAAAAAATTACTTCAATACTATATAGATGAATTTCTACACTCTGTTAATATTTTTGTCAATGAAAGTGCAACCAACAAAATAAAATTTAACTGGATGAACCTTTTTTAATTTCCTTCTTCTTATGCTCTTTCGCTTCATTTTTCTTGCGTTTATCAGTCTCCATTGTCGATTCCTCTTCATTCTCCATTATCAACGGCCCTCCCGTCTCCATTCTCTCAAGGCTCTTTCCGGTTTACATCTGCATGGGCTCAGATTTCATCTTGGTAAAGAACAATCGCGATTTTACTTCGGCCGACAAACAACAAAAACCTTCAGCTTTTCTGAATCCAAAACCTTAAACGATTGTAGAATGAATGAAGGTGCTCTGCAGGCTCAGGCGACGTTTAGCTTTTCATTGATCTAAAGTTTTAGTGAAGCGCGTGATTTAACTTTTAGGTGTTTCGGGCCGAGCTCGGGTCAGGCCACCCCGTAGTTAATCAGAAATTTTATTCTTTAAATTATGGGCCCGCAGGTGTTTCATTTTCACTTGACACGCAACGTGTCCGCATAGAAATCCGACTTCTAATCGTCTCCCTTCGTTCTCAATCCGAGCTCTCCGGTAACGCAATCGCATCGAAGACGAGAAATACCGAGGTGATTCCTTTCTCAAACTGTAGTCATCTTCGATCTCTCTTTACTTCTCGCCATTCTCGTTTCTGTTTACTCGGTTAAAATGCTTTAAGTTCGGCTAGGGTTTCACTCTCACGCGTGCCTCGCTTCAGTTGGAATAGCCGAGAGTATTGTGAGAACTCTCGTTTTCTCTGATTGATTCTCTTGGAAACGAACAATCATGGACATGCCTTTAGGCGTTTTGGCTTTGCGTGTGCATGTATGCGGAGGTATTTTGTTTGCGGGGTGTTCGGAGATCATAGTTTCAAAGGCAACTTTTTTGTTCAAATTGAAGACCATATTATTCATCTTCGTTTTGGATTTCATTACATAGGAAATCAAGTTAAGCTGCATTTCAATTATTTTAGATATACATCGTGCAGGATGATTTATTGGGAAATTGGTATACATAGCACACAATTCTTATGTATTTACATATCTCACACCTAATATTTCTATTTACATAATAGCAATTTGGTGCTTTAAATCTATGTGTGAAGATGTGCACTTCACTTTTAAGAAATGATAATTGTGCTAGTTTTGATGTGATATAAAATATTTGAGTGCTATGTGTGTAGATGCCAAATTTTAGTTGTGAAATATGAAAATGCATAAGAATTGTGTGCTATGTATGTAAATGCATCATTTTACGATATTGAATTTGATATATCTAATATTGATTCTTATCCTTATATTTACCATGCAATGAGTGCGAGCTCTACAAGAAACAACTTATCTGCATATTGCTTGTGGTAATACATGTTTATTTTTCATCATTGGCTAGTCTGAATGATCTCTAAGGTCGAAACATATCAAAATTGCAGTTTTCACTTTTCAGGGTGCCATGATCTAGTTTATTGATGTAAAAATTGGTTTTTTTTTGTTATTTATTTTTTTATTTTTTGCTTACGTGGATTTAGGTTAGTTGAGTGTTTACATATTGGTAGTTGTAAAATGAGAAGGCCAGGGCATTATGGGGATGCTGGTGTGAATCCTATGATGGCTGCACAGATGCAACATATGTCAGCTCAAAGAATGCAGTATAACTCGGGTGTGGGAAATTTTGCGGGACATGCCGGTGAAGAACATCAATATATGCCTTCAAAAGCTGAGAGGCAGTGGCAATGGGAAGTGGATGGTTCTAAAGGAGCGAAGTCCATGTCGCCTGATATGTACAAGTCAGGTACGTTCAAAGTTTTATGGGTAAAATCTACAACATCTTTGCATTAGTGACAGTCATTTCAATGTTGATTAACAAGAATTCCATATCTCAAATTTATTATTTTGTTCTCACTTTTGTGTTTTTGAGTTGGGATATTATTTAGGGAAATTTACATACATAACATTCAATTCCTATGTATTTACATATCTCACTCTTAAACTTCAAATTTTACACACATGCTACCTTTAAAAGTTGTATTTCAGTTTTTAAAAGTTGGTTGTATTTTTTATGCCATATGAAGGATTTGTGTGGTATAGATGTAAAACCGTAATGTTTAGGTGTTAGATATGTAAATACATAAGAATTAAGCGCTATATATGTAAATGTTCCTGCTATTTAATTTCTCATATGTTATAGGTTGAAGTTAGCTCTACTAATTCTAGTTTGTTATGTTGTTCAAACCTTAAAGTTGATGTTCATTAGCAATGCAATTCGCATGTATTGATTCTTAATTTGTTTCCTAGTTTATTTTTAGTGTAAAAATATGTCTTTGGCGCTGGCTTTTATATGAATATGTGTCTTCTAGTCTTTGAATATTCTGTCAGGTATGAGCCATTATTTCATGGTTTTAATCAGACTTATTAAATTTCAATCAACATGCATATTATATAAAATCATTGCTATAATGTGAAGTGCTCGCTATTGCACATTTCTGCCTTTCTTACTTGTGCCTTTCTATCTTTTTTTTATTTGCAATAATACCTTTTTTTTCTTAATTTTGTTGGGTCCTCGAAGCATTTTAATAAATTGGATTTATGAAGGTTTGATATTTTTAGGAATTCAAAAGGATTGAATTGAAACATATTCCTGACGAATGTTGAGAAGTTTTTTATTTTAGTTAGGATTGATTACTGAAATAAAATTTAATTTTTCGTTGTGTATGTTATTGTTGGATGTGAGTTCTTTGAGTGCTTTACATGTGTAGTTCCTCTCTTTCAAGTAATTTCTATTCTTGTTGATGCCTTTTAACATGGTTTGTTAATGGTTTGCATGTTTATTGGGACTCTATCATGTAAGATGAATGTTGGATTTGTAAACTTGATTCTTGTTGAAATTTTTTTTTCATCGCTTTTTTTCTTGTTGAATTTCAGATTTATGTGATTATTAAGTTATTTTTGCTACCTTACATCAAAAGTGACAATTTTTTTTAGTAAAATTATGAATTATGATCTTTTTTTGTCCTCATCTTCTATATTATCCTTGGTTTCATTAGAAACCTTCTATCACAATAATATTGGCGCTCATGATTGCGTCTTCATATCGACTAAGAGGGCATGATACGAAGGTCAATAAAATTTAATGAAAGACACAACAAAAATAAAAATGAGAAAGTCATGATTAGGCACGCACACAACTATATGAAGATTTAAATTAAGTTCATACATTCACTCAGAGCTATGATTTTGAGAATGTTCCCGTCATATTGATGATTTGGAATACTTATGTACGTGTTACCATCCATCTACTTTTGTAGGACTTTATTTTACTAAGTTTAAATTATTAAGTTGTGCTCAATAATTTTGACAAGATATTTGTTTTGCTTAAAAATTAGTTAAACCCATGCAGGGTGGTGGAGAGCATCAACTTGTAGAGAAACATCTATCATTTGTTTAGTTTAGAAATCAACTTAATGAATAATTTAAGCAATTTAAACAAATTTTGTATGATATATGAATACTGTGATAAGTTTATGAGTCTAATAGCAAAACATCATTCATCTCAATACTATTTTTTTATATAGAATTTTTGTTTCTTTACGTTTCTGAGGCTATAAATTGAAAATGGATTGAACAAAAATGCACCAAAATTTAAATTCCACTATTGAGCAAAAATGCACCAAAATGGGCGAGGTTTTGATTTACTCGCTCTACTACTTGAAAGAATTTTATGCAAAAATAAACCAAGCGATCAGTAAAATAAATCTCATTAAAGTCCCTGCAGAAAAATCTTTACTGTTCCTCTCAAACGTGCCAGCCATGCACTAACACAAAGTCATGCATGATCAAACTCGAACATATCCTATTGAGAAAATGTTTGTTCTCGAATATTCTTTCACAGATGAATGTGATAAATATTTAGAATTTTATTTGGATTCTTTTAATGGCGTGGAGCTTAATTTTAAAAATTCATTGGCACATCTTCTTTAATCTGCATCTAAATATGATTTTAAGCATGTATTTGAGTTTGATTTGAGTTAGTATGCAATTTTACAAAATTCAGATTCATAATTGTGCTAGAATTTATCCATGAACTCGAGAAATCGAAGTTGAAGCTGAGATCGATTACAAGGCTAATCATCCCATAGAAAAAGAACTTTAATATAGTTGAAACTAAGCCTGTAGAACACATTGACTCTATTATTGAATATGAAGTTGAGCAAGTTGCCCTGTTGTAGCTGGAGAGTTCTTTGGTTTATTTTTTTATGTATAAATAAATATATTATGCCTATTGAATGTGATAAATCTGGACGACCAATTTAACTATTGATGTAAGTTTTAACAAAGTTATTATCATAATCAAATTAAAATTCATTTTGTTTTTCGATATTTGTTTCTTGACTTAGAAATTCTTAAAGAGAGATATAAGGAGAATATAAAATCACATCATTGTTTCATTGATATTTTTTTTATATCAAAAGCCAGAAATGAAACTTAAATTTCAAACATGGGTTGAGCATGGAAGTGTGTAAATCATCTCCATTAATATTTGGGGGCAATTACGTTCATACCACATAATTCTTATATATTTATGTATTAAACACCTAAAATTTCATATTTACGTATATACCACGTAAATTTTTGACATTGCATAAAAATACCACTATTATTAACTTTTTGAAAGTGAAATACAAATTTTCATGCGTAGGTTTTGACATCGAAGTGTTATAAATGCAAATATCAAACCTTAATTCTTAGATATGTAAATGCAAAAAAAAAAAAGTGTGGTATGTATGTAAATTTCCCTAATATTCAAGTCAAATGGCATAGCTTTATTTAACATGTTTATTCGTTCATTTGGGCATTTTATAGTTGCGTGGCTTGCATGTTTTCAATTTTTTTATCTTGTTGTACAAAGATATGATATAAATTATTTTTAGTAATCATTTGGACACATATTGCCATTACACTACTTTTATTAACTGTTCATATTGAAAAATGTTGGAGAAAATCATATTATCTTAGTTCTCATTAATCAAATTCCTTATATAAGGAATGTTAGGGCAAATTTAATTACAATCATTACAACTTACCAAAGATAAACTGACTCAAGAAGGAAAGAACTATGAAAATAAAAAAATGAATAATGCTAAAATAGGAAACACAAAATTTCACACTCTCCCTCAAGTTAGGTCATAAATTTTGTAGAGGCATGGCTTGTCATTAAAATAAGTGAAGCCTCTTAGAGGTAGAGATTTAGTGAAAACATCAGCGGTTTGAAGATAACTCAGAATCTAGATTATGTGAATAAGGCATCCATTGACCTTTTTAGGGATAAAATTTCTATCAATCTCAATGTGTTTGATTCCATCATGATGCACATGATTCTTTGCAATGCTAATGACGACTTGACTATCACATAACATTTTTATGTGATTGACTGTGGAGTATATCAACTCACTTAGTAATCTAGTGGAGCTTGATCCACATTCTTTCACAAATTCTAAAAGCAAGTGCTCAATACTCAAATTCTACACTACTTTTAGAAACCACTGTTTGTTTTTTGCTTCTTACTTCTTGCTCTTTCAGGTGACTAGATTTCCCCAGACATAGGAACAATACCCAGAAGTGGGTTTTCTATCCGTGAGTTCTCATGCCCAATTAGCATCAATGTAAACATCAACCTCTCTTTTGTCTGATTTCTTAAACAATATTGCTCTATCAGGGGTTTTCTTAAACAATCTCAATATTATGTAAACCATCTCAAATTGTTCTTCATTCGAACTTCGTATGATGACTTATAATGTCGACAAAGTAAGCGATATCAGATCTAGCGTGCGACAGGTCAATAAGCTTACCCACTAATATCTGGTTTCTATTTTTTCTCACAAATATCTTTTCTTCTCCTGAATGTAGCTTTTTGTTGAAGTTCATAGGACTCTCAGCTGGTTTTTAATCCCAACATTTCTGTTTCTTTTAGTATGTCTAGAATGTACTTTTCCGGGATAATACCCATCTTGGAATTGACCTCTTCTTTGCCCTTAAAGTATCTCATCGTTGCTAGATTCGTAATTTGAAATTCAATGGTATGAACCTGCTTGATCTTCCCAACTCTTTTCTCATTGGTTAGGATTATATTATGTACGTAAACAATGAGTATAACTTTTTTACCTTCCTTTGTATAGTTTATGAATAGTATATGCTCTGCTTGACATTTTAATCTCAACATTTCTGTTTCTTTTAGTATGTCTAGAATGTACTTTTTCGGGATATCACAATACCCATCTTGGAATTGACCACTTCTATGCCCTTAAAGTATCTCATCGCTGCTAGATTCGTAATTTGAAATTCAATGGTATGAACCTGCTTGATCTTCCCAACTCTTTTCTCATTGGTTAGGATTATATTATGTACGTAAACAATGAGTATAACTTTTTTACCTTCCTTTGTATAGTTTATGAATAGTATATGCTTTGCTTGACATTAGATGTATCTATTAGATCTTATAATCTTGGCAAACTTGTCAAACCAAGTCTTTGAAGATTATTTGAAGCCATAAAATGGCTTTCTTAGTTTACAAACCAAATGTTAATTTGAGTAATTTTTTAATCATAGTGAGATTTTCATGTACACTTCTTTCTCATGATCTCCATTCAAAAATGCATTCTTGATATTGAGTTGATACAATTTTTATTTTTTGTTCATTACAAAGGAAAGAACTCTTACTATATTTAACTTGGCCATTGGAACAAATGCCCTTGATAATATATTCCATAAGACTAATCAAAACTCTTGACCACCAAACTAGTTTTGAACCTTTCAATGCTCCCAGCTGCTTTGTAATTGACATTGAAGGCTCATTTACACCCAACATGACTTTTATATAGAGGAAGCGTTGTAAAGATCTATTTGCCATTTAAATCAAGTACTTGGGTTACTTCTTCAACTTTCATTCTTCATTCTGGAGTTGGAAGTGCTTCATGAATAGACTTGAGTATTTACACACCATCTAGATTATATACAAAAGGTTTATAAGTTTATGATAACTTTTCATAGGCAACATAATTTTGCATAGGATAATTTGTGCAACTTTCCCTATCTTCTCCACTAGATTTCACTTCTCTCTGAACTTCAAAGATGTGTGAAGTTATGTTTGGTTGTGAACATTATTGTGGTTGCATATTATTTTTATCCAACTCGATGAATATCTTTTTTCTAGTATACACACAAAGTTCCTTGTTGTCAATCTTATATTGGAAGTTCTCGATTGGTGGAACTTGGTAAACAAGATGGTTATAAGGAAAGAGAATAGACTATAATGACTCTAGATCAATGTCAGTATTCAATGTAGTATCCCAAGTTTGATATTCACCCGGACTCTCCCCATGAATATCAAATTTGGGGTGGTAGAGTTGGTTTTCAAAGAAGGTAACATCCATGTGGTTATAATTTTTTTTTTGTAATAGGAGAATAACACTTGTACCCATTTTTGTTAGAAGCATACCCAAGAAAGATACATTTAATGGATTTTGATCAAAAGTTGTACGATTTTGTTGGTGAATTGGATAAAAGAGAATTATTTTTAGAGGAAGATTGGATAAGAAAAGTTTGATATGAGATTATTTTTTCATCACAATATCGAGATTGACTTTGAATTAAAGGACCATGCTTGTCATTCTATTAATAAGGTTGGTGGCTGTGAGCACGATATCTCCTCAGAAAACTTTTGGGACATTGTGAAAAAGCATTATAGGCCTATATACCTCAAGGAGGTGTCTATTCTTCTTCTCAACTATTCCATTTTGCTGTGAAGTTTCAACAAAGGAAATCACATGGATAAATTTGCTCTTTGCAAGGTAGGTTTCGATGATAAAATTGGAGTATTTCTTTGCGTTATTGGTTTTATGGATTTGAATTTTGCATTTAAATTTAGTGGAAATCATATTACGGAAAGGCTGAAAGATTTGTATAGTTTCAAAATTTTCTTTAATAAAAAATATTCAATTCGTCCTAGTATGGTCATCTATAAAATAGATAAACCATTTGGCTCCATTGATGGTTTTCAATTTTGATGATTTCCAAGTGTCACGGTGAATGATTGAGAAAAGATGTGAAGGTTTGTGCTAGGACATGATAGACATGGTGAGTATGTTTAGCCAATTTGCCTGAGTCACGTTGATAAAATTTTGATTTTTTATTAATAAAGAGATAAGGGTATGTTTTTGCAACATAATTAAAATTAGGATGGCTTGGAGGACGATTTCATAAAAGAAATTGACTTTCAACAGAATCAAGCATAACAAACTCAAGAATATGACAAGAGAACGAGGAAGAAGACACTTATGTGTTAAGAAAATTACTTTCTTAAGCAAGTATAAAATTTTGATGCAATTCAACTCTGTGGATCACTTTCTCCGAATCCACCAACTTAAAATTCACAAGTGTTATAATAGAATTTAGTAATACAGTTCAAGTCTTGAGTAAGATTACGAATTGACAGTAAATTGCTATATAATTGAAAAGCATATAGCACAAAAGAGAGTTGAATATCTTTGGAGACTTTCACTTCTCATTTCTCAACAATTTTAGAGTGTGCTCCATGGACAAGTCTTACAACTTCGGAGTTCGTAAACTCTTGGTAGTTAGTGAGAGCTTGAATATCTCCAGTCATGTGATCAAAACCATCTGAATCTATTAATCAAGGTAGAAATCTTCTGCTATCAACAATATAAGAGTAGGATATAATACATTGTTGGATCATCAAGTTGGTTGGCCGCTCAGTTTTGCTCGAAAGAAGTTTCTTCAGTTGTTTCCTTGTGAAAGGGCTACGGTTAGTCAACCCTTCAAAAGAGTTAGCAATATAGGCCATGTTGTCTTGGTCTTTCCTCTATTGCTGAAGTTATCATTTTGCAGATTTTTCACATAATTTTCAGCACTTATTGTTTGTGTGATAAAGTTTCTTGCAATGTTCACACAAGGGACGATTTATCTTCGGAGTGGCACTCGACGTCTTCATACCGTATTTGGTCATAAACCCTATGTGTATTTAAGGTTGCAGTTTGTCACAGAGACGAAGTTGGTCATAGCTGCTATGGGAAGAAAGGTATGATGAGTCTGTTGCTGCTACTGTGGTAGGAGAGAGGTCTGATGGCCGCTGTCGTTGCTGCTACGGCGATGACTGCTATTGCTAGAAGAAAGGTCCGGCGACAACAAGGTCAACAACGGAGGGCTTGCGGATAGAATCCAACAGAGAATTGCCTGCAACAAGAAGGAATCGGACTGTCGTGTAGATCTGGCGGCAAGGATCTTACTAGGGATGGCCTGTAAGTCAGGATTTCTGACTGCAAGGAGGAGTCAGGAAGGGACTGCATTCTTGCTGAAGGGATTTCGACGGCTGTCAGAAGAAGTTCCTGTGACCGGAATGAATTCCTGTGGTTGTTGTTCTCTCGCAGGTTTGGTATTTCCACTAGGAGAAAGTCTAACTTGGATTTTCACTGGACAATCCAAAGAAGGAGAGTTGGGATTTGTAACTTGGTTTTGATACCATGGAGGAAGAGAGACAAAATTGTATTATGCTATTTCTCTATAATCAAATTATAATTCTTCTTCTAATATAAAAAGGAACGACTAGGACAAACTTAATTACACTCGTTACAGCTTATCAAAGATAAACTGAAGAAAGAAAGAAATATGACCAAAAAGAAAAGGCGAAAAAAAAACTGGAAATGCAGAATTCCACACCTATTTTTTGCATGATTTGCAAGAGTTTTTTTGATGTGCATGAGCGTGTTAAGGTAACCTAACAATTAATTATATCAATTATAAATTTGTATAACCATGTGTTGTGGATTTTAAACCAGGAAATAGGGTAATCGTGTTTTTAAATCTAGCAAGGTTTCCTACAAGAACTGAATTTTTTAAGGCGAGCTAAATGATGCAAATCTGTGAGTTTGTGTTCATTGCGAATACATTTTTTCTGTATTGATTTTTAGTTTTTTTTTCTAGTTTATTTCAGGTTGAAAAGCATGTTTATGATGTTAAATCTTATACAAGGTTACAAACGAGTATGCTCCCTATAATTTTTTAAGTCTATTAAGTCTTAACTTATTGTTGCATGGTTTTAACATAGGGAATTTACATGCATACTACCCAATTGTTATGTACTTGCATATTTAACACTTAAATATTTATATTACATGCATACCACTTGAATTTTTAACATCACATCAAAAGTTTCACCATCATTATATTTTTAAAAGTGAAATAAACCTTTTCATGCATCAGTTTATGACGCCTAGATGGTGTAAGTATAAATATCAAACTTTGGGTGTTAGATATGCAAATGTATAAGAATTGTGTGGTATTTATGTAAAATTCCCTTTAACTTGCCCCATTGAATTCGAATCAACACATGAAATTTAGGATTATTAGTACAATGTGAATTATTAATTACAGGCCATTATTATTCCTATTTCTCCACTAATTGATGCTGCAATATTTTGCCTTGATTACTACATTTCACCTTATCGTTGCTCAATGTCATTGTCTAGGGCTGTCAAAACAGCTCGTTGTTTGCGAATAGTTCGTGTTTGGCTCGTTAAGAAGCTCGAGTTCGATTCATTCGGTAAGCAAACCACTGAATATGAACAATTTTTTTGTGCTCGATATATAAGCGAGGCAAACATGAACACAGATCTGTTCGCTCTTTTTCGGCTCGATTTGACTTGGAATAATTAAATTAAAAATATAATTCACTGCAAGGCTACAAAGATTTATAATCAATTAAAATTGTTAATTAAAAAATCAAAATAAAAGTATATTGAATTATATTTAAATAGTTTTTAATATAAATAATTAGATTTAAATCTCTCCCAACTCTTGGCATCCTACTGCTGCGATTGTTGGCGAACAACTCGTGTTCGTCTCACTAAGTAAACGAGTCAAATACAAATAAATTTTTTGTGTACGAAATATAAACGAGCCGAACATGAAAAGTGGTATTTTTTTAATGAGCCAAACATGAGTTGAACCTAGGCTCACTCATGTTTGGCTAGTTTACACCAGTGTTATTGTCTTCTCCTTGTCACAACTTCTCTTTTTATTTGGTTGGGTCCTTAAGGCTATACATGAAATTTGGTTTATGGAAATATTGCCATTGTTTGAATTCAAATGGTGTAAGTTGAAGGTGACTGCTTTCATTGAATTGCATATGATTGAGAGTATATTTTATTTTTATGGCTTAAAGAGCACTGGTGGAAGGGTTGTAATGATTTTTTTTTTTTTTTTGTTGACAACTATTGATAGAAATTTGTAGAGCCAACATAATTGATGGGAATCACTATTTGTAAATTGTTGCAATTATTGCTTTCCAGAATTAACTTTATCATTCTTTGCTTTCTCTTTTGGGTTTTATTTCATTCTTCTAGATTAATTAAAGGAAGATTTGCATACATACCGCTCAATTCTTATGTATTTAGATATCTACCACCTAAACTTCAGTTTTTACATACAGGACACATTCCCTACGCATGAAAAGGTGTATTTCATTTTTTAAAAGTTAAAAACAATTATATTTTTGATGTGATATTAAAGATTTGAGTGGTATTTAATTGTAAAAAGCAAAGGTTAGGTGTTAGATATTTAAGTACTTAAGTATTTGTTGGTATATATGTAAATGACCCTTAATTAAACTGTTCCCTTATTGGCTTATCAAACTTATGGCGATCAAAATTTCGAGATTTAGGTCAAGTAAGCGATGCTTCTCGATCGGCGTATCAAGGTCAAAGACCAGACTCCAAAGTTGGATTGGAGAAACAAATGGCTAGAGATCCAAGAGAAAATAAAGAAGTTGGCTATGAGGACAGCAATCATCCCCAGACATTTGAGGGCCTGGAAGAGAAATTCCTTGAGGACATCATGAAATTAACCAAAGAACAACAGGAAGCTGAAGACAAGGAAAATGCCAGACACAGAGATGTAAATTCAATCTTTTTTTTCTTTCAATTCTTTTTGCAAATTCAACCTGCATTAAATTTGGAGAAAATTGTCAAAATAGTCCCTAACTCTTTGCAACAGGTCAATTTAGTCCTAGTGTTTATAAAAATGTCAATTTCGTCCACAAACTCGTCTAATAAAGGATTATTTCAACCTCAATTTAAGGAGTCTGGAGACTAATTTGACATTTTTATTGACTTTGGGATTAAAATGACCCCAGATTAATAGTCTGGGGACCAATTTGACACATTACTCTTTAAATTTGGCTTCTATGATTGATTTTCTACATTGTTTTAGAGACTGAGTGAGATTAATAAGCAATATCAAGAAAAACTGGCGACGATTCGGGCTCGGCAGGCTACTCTCAGAGACGAGTATCTCCGCAAGGAATCGCAGGTTCGTCATAAGCAGTATCAGCAGGCTAACATAAGCAACTATCATCCCAATGAGGCTTATGCCTATGGCTCTGTCGCTACTCCTGCTGCTGGTCATGGAGATCCGCATCAGGCTTATGGCCGAGGTAACTTCGACGCTTATGGAGAACGGACTGAGTTCGGCGGGGGTGGTCGGAGCCGTGAGTTTGATTCTCGAGGGCAGTATCCTGGCGGCCGATCTTATAGTTCCGGCGGCGGACGGTATTATTGAGAAAGTTTTGTGGAGCTTAGAACAGTGAGATCTTCTTTTCTTCCTCATATGAACTTCATGAAAGCTATATATATATATTGAAGCAGTGGTAATTAGCAGCCGTGGTTTCTCAAATGTCGAACACAGTTCTCTGTGTAGTTCTATTGTGATGTTTTACTGAAGATAATGTTTTTAAAGATTTACAGAAGCTTTTTGGAAGTGAGTTATTGTTTTTCAGTATGAAGTAGAAAGCATTGTGAATGGTTTTTTTGGAAGATTTATATGCATACCATGAATTTCAATTTTTACATGCATGCTATTTTAATTATGCATTAGGTGTATTTCATTTTTGAAATGTTAAAATGGTGGAATTTTTGAAATGGTGTGAAAGATTTGGGCGATCTTAATGCAAAAAAAAGTGAAGTTTAGCTGTTGCAGAAGCAAATACAGAGGAATTGGGTGGTATTCTGTTGGCCCAATATCATTGTAAAATCAGGTTTTGGGTCGGGTTCTTGTTCTTGTCTGACTTGAAATTGAGCCGACCCGAAACTATTTGGTTTGAACGTGTCCCGAATATTACACGGGTCTGGAAGTTTAACTGGAAAACGATCCACTCTCTACATGCTAACTCAATCTTGGGCCGTGTAATATTTAATATAATAGATAACAACTATTCGGGTTAATGTTAAGTAGGCGGGTTAAATTTGAGTAAATTTTAGGCTGGTGGGCTAGTTTAGGGTCACTTTGAAGTTGGTAGGTACACCAAGTTCGACCTGAAAAATTGAAAGGGTTAAGAATCCTAACCCAAACTTGACCCGAAAAGTTAGTCAGGTCAACCCAAATTCTTATTTTTGAGTCGGATTTGTGTCATGTTGACCTATTGGGTCAATTTTTTACATACTATTGGGTGGAAGTAAATTGATGAGGAGCTTAATATTTGTTTGGTTGATATTTATTAATATTTATTTGTTATGGTAATATTTTCTCAAATCCTAAGTTGAATTTGGAGTTTACATGTTATTATTTTGGAAACAAATTCCATTATGTTTTAAAAATGCCCATAACTTTGTATTATTAAATAAAGATTTAAATGACTATAATTTGTATAGAATTGCTTTAATTACTATTTATTTTTCATGTTGTATGAAGTGTTATTTTTAAATTCGTGTAATATAATTAGTATTAAATTTAAAATTGAAATGATAGCATTAAATATAAATATTATAATTAATGTATAATTTTCATAGTGTCCATGACATTTTTAAATTAATATCATTCATATCAAAATGACGACTACTTGTACTCTGATACTTGTGTTTGATTGCTCATGCTTGGTTACTTATTGAACCAGGTTTTTGACAGATTGGGTTGAAAAACCCACTAAGATTGCTCGGACTCTTACTAGCCCAACATGACTGCTTTTTATCATACAATATATTTTTGAAAGAAATTAGATATAAGAAAATAATTTCTAAGGGGTATTTATGTATACAACACATAATTCTTATGTATTTATAAATCTTATAACCAAACCTTCATCTTTATCTTCATAACAATTAAATTTTTAATAACATGTAATAATCAATTATTATTATCTTAAAAAATACGTCTTTTATATTTAAAATTATAACACCGAAATTGTATATAATAAATATATAATTTTTAACGTTACAGAGGCAGTTCACACGTGCGCCATGTCATTCATTTGAGAAAATATCGCATCTTTAAACTGTGTTCGGGCTCCAATAATAAGACATTTATAAAGTGGTGGTCCTAATTTTGTGGAGTTAAAAAAATGCTATTTTTCTTGTGACCCTGTGTTGAGATTGCCTGAAACATCGAAAAAAAAAAACGTGTGCTATTTAAAACCTGGCACTGCTCATAATCGCACAATGTTTATTTTCTTTTTCTAAGTTAGGGTTTTTCTTTCGACTAGAGTTTTGACAATATTCTTCGGTTAATTCCGAAGAGCATGCATGAAAGCATTTTTGAATATGGAATATGAAGATTCTGGTGACTAACATAATAAAGGTGAGCTTTATAGCTATTAAGATGGTAACATTCATTAGGGTTTACTTATTTCAGTTGATATATTTTGTTTGTAGTTTCACTTACAGGACTTCTGGTATGGATTTCTGTGTTTAAGCTAAACATAATGGTGTTGTGATCTATTTTTTTTAATAATATAATACCAGTATTTTGGCAATTTGATCCCTAAGGTGGTATTTGAGTTTCTTAAGTTGGTGGTAAACTGTTTGAATTATGGTGATATTGTGGTTGTCTTATGATGTTGCTAAGTTTGTCTTATGGCGGAATTGAGACGGTAATGTGTTAATATTATAGTGGTATTATGATGTTAATATGATGACATCAAAATGCTTAATGATGATATAGATGAGTACTTGCAAATAGTATTTACATTGATTTTTCTCCGAAGACAAAATAAGAATATTTTTTGTTTTTTCAAACAATTTGAACATGTAAACCTCTCAAAATAAAAACAATTGCTCTAAAATTATAGTCAGTAATATATGTGACAGTAATGAGATACTTGAAAGTGTTAACAAATGAATCCGGAGAAAATATTGCAACAAACGAAGTTTTCAATTGAACATATGTCACAAACTAAGAGTTACACTAGTCGGTTACACAAAAATAGACACCAAATAAAGTTGACTTATTTTCCCTATTGACCTCATTGGTTTATTCTCTTTCTCTTCCCTATTTTCTTTTTCCTTCCTTGGGTCCATTAAAGCTAACGTAAAACCTAAGGATTGCATATTTAACAACAACATTAGTTTAGTAGATTTTATAGCCAAAACTAACTAGAAACATATCAAATATATAAGCTTGCTAAGCTTATTTTTAAAAGTGTCGGCAGAGTTTTGAGTGCCGGTGTTGAAATGCCCGTGTCTGTCGGAGTTGAAGATGCTAAAAACTCTGACACGCTTCCAAGTCCGGGGTTGAAGAGGCTAAACCTAAACCTCAAAATCACTAATCAAAATCCTACCATGTTAAAAATGATAATGAATCAAGAACTCCTATATTTTTCCGATATTTTAGGCGATCTTGAGGCCGTATCACTTTTTTTTTAATTCGCTAATACGTGACACCCCTTTGGAGCTGGGAAAAAAATTGCGTACGTCAAGCATACGCAGGAGTTACGTACGTAAAAGGGTACACGGGGATTACAAGAAGTTATAACCCCGTTGTACCTCCCGTATAACTCTCGTGTAACCCCGCTGTAATCTTGTAATCCCAATAAATAAAATAAAAGGGCGGATTACAAATGAGTTATACAAAAATTATAAGAAAGTTATACCAAGTTTGTAACCCGTCAGGACCGGATGCCTTATTTTCTCTTAACTGATTGGGCCCGCTACGATAAGAGAACACGGCCGTGTGCCTAGGCGAAGAAGCTATTTCTGGATTGTGCTCGAAGCCGCGAGCGAGCGAGAGAGAGAGAGAGAGAGAGAGATCCTATATCGGATGGCGCCGTGGAAGGAGGCATCTCCGGGATATTTCGGCGACGATGGTGGTGATGCGGAAGGGAGTTGCTCGAATAGGAGGATTGTGAAGTCAAGCTGCAGGACGGAAGAGGTGGAGCCGGGAAGGTTTGTGAGGAAGTGCGAGAAGACGGAGCAGCTTCTTCGTCAGTGCGCCGGGAGGTATTTGAATAACTTATCCATCCTCCGTCGTTCCAGAAAATATTTCCCTCTTTTCTTCTTCTCTTCTGATTTTGCGGATGGCCTTAGGGCTTATCGCTTATGTTATGTGAAATCGAAGCTTTAGGTAAATGATGCGCTCTTCTTGTTTCTTGGATCTTGATCAGTAAACTATTTTCATTTATTGTTTAATATGAAACGAACCATGGATTTTTATAGTGTGGTTTTAGGTTCAGAAATTTATGCGCTTATGATTGTCGATGTTGGTAGTGGCTGCCACTTCAATTCTCCGAACGGTGGAAGAAAATATGACATCATGTTCTAATTTCTCTAATTTATAGCATATCTTATTTCTCAGCATATTTATAATTTATGCCACGGCAAGCTGTAATCAGACACGGCAGTTGATAAATTGCAAGAAGCTAAAAAACTTATTTATTTGAATATTAGGATGTTATTCGTTTTTTTCCTTTCAGTAGTGTGAGCATGTCAACTAATATCATTATTTCTCCCAAGGTTCGTGGCCTTGGATGGCTTTTTAGCTTCTGAACTCTTAACATATGTTTTGTTTATACTAAAGTTCGATGGAGATCTAAGGCATGGCGAGGCAAATATTATGATTTTTATTTTTTACAAGGGGGAGAATTCATATTAGTGAGCTTGGTGAGGTAAGGATTTGTTTGGATTTTTTATTTATAGTTGAATGTTGCAGTCCAATAACTCAATAGGGTTTTGTTTTAATAATCAATTATTTGACTTGTACAAGTGCTGATTTTATTCAAATATGTGAGTATCAGGAATATTCAGTTATTCACTGTATGGTGAATATTCCATCTTTCCTTCTCACTTTTTGATGAGGGTTGGTTGGAAAACTGATGCCACTCAACTCATCGACTATTTTGTTCAGTTTAAAAAAAAAATGATAATGCTTTTCACCTTGTGCTTTAGGCTTCGTTTGAGGGGGCTTTACTTTTTGAAAAAGCCTGTTTAAATGCTGAAGTGGAGAAAACTACTTTATAAACTTACGGTTCTTAAATTATGAATGGCTTTTTGAGTTCAAAACGATCTATTAACATTTTAATGCTATTAATTATCACATTTAAATATAAAAACATAGGAAAATATATTGGCTGCCATTTTGTGCCTCCTCGCTATCAGTGCTGTGTTCGACACAACTTCAAAACTAAATGAATGGATCAAAATTCTTAAGCATCTTTGTGGGCAATTTATTCTATCAGGAGTCTTAACATAGAGGAACTTTCAGACGCCAATAATAGCTTGACACGTGGCTTTCACGGAGCCGCAGAAATCGCCGAAAATAAAAAATAAAACACATATTTGTTTTTGTCGTGCCCTGTTGAATAAGAACTGTTCCATTGGTTTAGGGTTTACAGCTTCGATGGACTCCTCGCCGAATGACGACATGCTCGACGTCTTGCAACCATCATTTTCGCTGGACTTGGAAGATGAAGTGAGTTTAGCTAAAATTTGAAAGGTTGTAGTTTTGTTTAGCTCAAACTTGCTTCTTTGTTGTTTGCTTGGTCCGATAATGGTGTTATTTTTATAATGTATGTTATTTTTATTTCTTTAGGGTTTAGTGAGATTGAAGCTAGGTTTAACTTTTGCACTGATGTTGTTTAATGGTAAAAGTTTAGTGTTTTTTCGCATGCAGACTTGCTAGGCTAGACTGTGTTATTGTGGTGTTACGCTGGGTTTTACTGTGTTAGTTTGGTGTTATGCTGGGTTACTGTTGTATTTTTATGGATTCAGGGTTACTTTTTATCAATATGATATAATAGTGGTTCTGTTCAGGTTTAAATGGTAGTGGTAATATGGTGTATTTTCGGTTATTGTTGTTGTGTTATTCTTCCATTACTGCAGTGTTATTGTTACTCTTAGTGGTGGTACTAGTATGTTTTTCTTTTGTATTCAGTTGATTGTTGTTGTGATGTTATTTCTTAGTTTTTTTATGGTGTTGTATTCAGTGAACTATTATTATTATGAATGTCAGGTTATACTGTGTTATTCTACTGTTATTTTGTTGTTTAGCTGGGGTTACACTTTGTTATTCTTTGCTGACAGTAGACTTAATTTGTGGAAATGTGCAATCATGTGAGCAGAGAACTATTTGCATTGATCCAATGACAGAGAAGTTTCTTAGCACCATCGTCCACATTGAGAAAGAAGCTTATCAAACCTATTGTGCCTATGCATATCATGTAGGTTTCAGTGTTTGGAAGGACCATAGTAGTTATTGGCCGAATTCGAAGAAAAGGAAAACCATAGGTTTTCTTTGCAGAAAAGTTGGTCACAAGGAGGCTAACTTCATGAATACTGTAAAGTACTGAAAGTTAGACACGAGGACTGACTGTCAAGCTATGGTTTGCTATGCAGTTGACCTTGAAGGCAATTGGACAGTAAATAAATTCATTGAAAGTCATAACCATCCCTTAGCTGAATGTGGTGATAAGGATATTCTTCGTTCTAGTAGAAAGATAATTGACTTAAATGCAGATGTCCTGAGATCAATGACATGATCAGAGATCAGAGTAACAAATACATATAACTTCATTGCTACAGAGGTTGAGGGAGTGAAAAATTTGGAATGCACAAAGAGAGATGTGTTCAATTTCATTCAAAGAGACAAAATAGAAAAAATTAAATAAGGAAATGTCAATTCTCTAATACAATTGTTCATGGGGAGGCAAGCTGACGATAGTATGTTTGCATGATTTTTTTCAAACTGATGAGTATGGTAGATTAACAATCTTTTTTTGGTGTGATGGGTTAACTAGATTGAATTATGACGGTTTTGGGGATGTAATCATTTTTTATACAAGCTACAGATTAAATAAGTATAACATATGCTGCGCTCCCTTTGTGGGAGCGAACCACCATTTGCAAAACGTCTTGTTTGGGTTGGCTACTTGTTCGAGAAAACTATTGATTCTTTCAAATGATTATTCAAAGCTTTTACAAGAATAATGGGAGACAAGCGTCCATTAAGTTTTTTCACTGATCGAGACCAAGCAATGACAAGACCTATTGAAGAATGTCTCCGACAAACACGGCATAGATTCTGCCAATGTCATATCTACAAAAAAGTTATTTTAAAAGTGCATTGTAGAGTTTCTCTCAAGAGTGTTACCGATCTTTTTTATAAATGCATGAGTAAATGTGATTCGGAGGAGTTTGAAGAAAGTTGGTCCTTAATGATGTTAGTGGGTGACCTATACAATAACGCGTGGTTGCATGAGATGTACAAAATCAGACACAAATGATCCACTGCCTTCAATAAAGAAATATTTGGAATAAGATTTTACTTCTTTCCAAATGGTTAGGATAGAATTTTACTTCTTTTCCACCCATTCTGAAGACCCTCCTTTCATTATCCCAACATCTCAGAATGTGTAATGCCAACACATTGTCCTGTGGGTATGGAGGCATATCAAAGAAGTGAAAGACATGCATTTCTTTCAACGAATTCACTGTCTCTTTTGATACAAGATGTTTGATAGAATCCAAAGCACCCCTTACTCCTTATTGATGGACGATGCCTACAGTTGAATTTCCTTGTGTTCATCAACTTACAAATGAAAAAAAATTAAAATAAGTTTCATAAAAGACATTTTGAAAGAAATACAACACATATAACACCATGAAAGCCTTGAGTTACACCCAAAATCAAAGCAACACAACTCATATACAATTATATCACACAATAGTTAAAATAACACCAATTATATAATGCCTAAAGCAAAGCCAAACAACACCTATACATATAACACACACTAACACAAAAATAACACCATCAATATTCAACTGTGTTATTCAGTTATTAATGAGTTTCTATGCATATAACACCAAGACAACCTTCAGTAACACCAAATATAAAAGCAATACAACACATATACGAATTCCTGACACATCAGCAAAGGATAATTGGTGTCATGCACTCAATAACATTCATTTACACAATCATAACACGCCCTAAACAACCACTATGTGGTTCACAGCCATTTCACGCATCAGTAATGCCTAAAAGCAAAGCCCTAAACCAAATATACAACTTTAATACACCAGATGAATAAAACATACGTATTATTAACAAGAATAACACACAATAACATAATAATAACACTACAATAACACAACAACAACACATCATTAAGACAGAAAACACAGCATTCACGTGGCTATAACACGGAGATATCACATATATAACACATCAATCACAAATGGATAACACAATAGTAACACAGTCAAATAAAAAATGAACGCTAACTCAGCAATAACACAAGGGATGCTCATCAATAATACAAGGGATACTCAGCAATAACATAAGGGATACATTACCTCGATGACTTTGGAGCACTCCTTTTCTCTTCGGTTTGCTTGCGACCCTCACCTTCATTTTTTGCAAATATGAAACCCTAAACCTCTAAACTTCAAACAAAGAAATGAATTTTCTGCTCTGCTACGAACAATGGCCACCGTCTTCCGAACGAACAATGGCTATGGAAATCCTAGCTCCGAAATCTAAGAGGCGAAACGTCGAAACAGAGAAGCTGCTCTCGAAACGGTGCTCTTTCTACTCTTCGCGCTTTTTTTTAACGCAAAAACACTTTTTTATAACGTTCTTGGGTTAAGGTCAGGCCGGACCGCAAAATTTTTTTTAACCGGAATTTTATATGGGCCCACCATGCCACGTGTCACCATATTATTTGTCTTCGAATGTTCCTCTACGTCAGGACACCTGACCAAATACGCGCTCCATCTTCGTGGGTGCATCGTCAGAACAAGAAATGGAATGCTGGTCGGCGATTGGTGACGACAGATAGGTTAGGCTTTTGGCAGAACTCGGGCCGTTGATCTGGTCGTCTATCATTCTTTTCTTTCTTATCTGTAACGGTGGCTTTTCTTCTTCCCTTCAGTCATTCAGATGGCCAATAGAATCAGTGGATGCCATCACCTTTACTTCTCTAACAAACTTATAAATCTCT